GGCACCCTATTCAGCCGGTCTTCCAGGCTTTTCATCGTACTGTGCACCAGTAATCTCCCAGAGCGCATCTGGAAGGATACATAGTCCTTTAACCCTTCGATGAATTGTACTTCTGCAAGGTCGATCCGCATCAACTTGCCTTCACTTTTAACGAACAGCAAACCGGCCTGCACGGCTATAGTGTCGGCGTTATTCAGCTGTGGTGGTGGCGGTGGTGGCGTAAGTTTATTGACTGCCTTCACGAAGCGTTCAAAACGTATGGGCTTAAGTAGATAGTCCAGAGCATTATGCTCATAACTTTCAATAGCATACTGGTGATACGCCGTTGTGAAAATCACTTTTGGCGGTGCTGCCAGGCTGTCGAGAAAAGAAAATCCGTTTATGTGTGGCATGTCAATATCCAGCAGCAGCAGGTCTACCGCTTGTGTGTTCAATACAGTTAATGCCTGCATGGCATTGGCACAAGAGCCGACGAACTTTAATTGCGGCAGCATTGCCACAAAGCCTTCGAGTATGGTGCGGGCGATTGGCTCGTCATCTACAATTAGTACGCTTATAGAGCTCATGTAAGATAAATTTTCAGATCGAATGTGGCTACAGTACCTGTTTTGTTCTGCTCAAAATGATATCGCCCGGGGAATAAGAGATCCAGTCGTTTACGCAGGTTGGTAAGCCCGATGCCATTAGCAGTTGCACGAGTAACGGTAACGGGCTCAAAATTATTGATGGTTCGCATTGTTGCCACATTTTTTTCAATCCTGAACGAGAAATTTACGGAAACGGGTTCATGGATGAGCCGTGTGCCGTGCTTGAATGCATTTTCCAACATGGGCATCCAAAGGAGAGATGGGATATGATATTCGCCATCGGCATAAAGGTCGAGCATAATTGTAGCCTCTTCCGGCAGGCGCAGCGCTTCAATTTCCACATATGCCTCGATGGCTGCCTTCTCTTTTTCAAAAGATATATCTGGCTGCTCGCTATCGTAGAGCAAATAGCGCAGCATGGCCGATAGCCGCAGGATAACATCCGGCGTGCTGTCTGCCTTCTGCAGGGCCAGCCCGTAGATATTATTTAAGGTATTGAACAGAAAATGCGGATTGATCTGGTTTTTCAGAAAGGCAAGCTCTGCATGTACCCGCTGCTCTTCCGCCATACGAAGCGCACGTCGCTGCCTGGAGTAATCATTCATGTACCAGGTCATCGTAAAGGCCAGGATCCACATCAGGTTGGTGAACAAAAAAATCGGAAACTCAGCGGCTATAGCCTGCAGGCTCCAAACCGGGGAAATGACGGTCGAAGTAAGGCCGGGATGCTGCAGCTCCTGCACATTAAGAT